AGATGGGTGTAAAGAGCATTGAGATGAGTTAATTGTACAGTGAGGTTTACATTAAAACTGGTTTTGTAAGAACTGAAATGTCAGGTGACAAGTTATTCCATGTCGGAAATGCTTACACCAGCTTCTAGTCTTAGTAAATGTACGTTGTTCGTGTTGCGGTTTCACAGAGTAAACGTATTGAGATGGGTCTAAAGGGCATTGAGACAAGTTAATTGTACAGTGAGGTTTATATTAAAATTATTTGTGTATGAATGGAAATGTCCCGTGACAAGTTATTCCATACCGGAGATGCTCACACCAGCTTCTAGTCTTAGTAAATATACGCTGTTCATGTTGCCGTTTCACACAGTAAACGTGTTGAGATGGGTCTAAAGGGCATTGAGATGAGTTAATCCTACAGTGGGGTTTACATTAAAACTGTTTTTGCAATAATTGAAATGTCACGTGACAAGTTATTCCCTGACGGAAATGCTCACACAAGCTTCTAGTCTTTGTAAATATACGCTGTTCGTGTTGCAGTTTCACAGCGTAAACGTTTTGAGATGGGAGTAAAAGACATTGAGATGGGCTCAATATACGGTAAGGTTTATAATGAAATTATTTAACTGATAATGGAAATTGCATGCGAAAAGTTATTCAACACTCGAACCTTTCGTACAAGCTTCAAGTGTTAGAAATGTTCCATGTTTGTGGCGCTTTTAACGTGTTGAGATGGATGTAATGTGCATTGAGATGAGCTAAACATGCAGTATAAATTATAATAAAATTATGGTAATGAGAGGTAATATGCAGCATTAAAAGTTATTCCTTAGCAAACCTTGTATCAAACTAAGATCAAATACTCCACTATTGCGATGTCACGAAACAAAAATTCGTCATTCAGAACAGCTGAACGGGTTTGAAAAACCTTGTTTAAGGCGAATGTAACAGTTCTCTTAATCTTACTGGTTCTTATAAATGATGTGGATATTTCTCGCTTAAATCGAATTGGCAGACAACTTCAACCAGTCGAATTGGCAGCCGGCGAATTGGCAGTGAATTGGCAGACAACTTCAGCCTGGTGTCTTCTAACATGGCAAAGTTGTCACGTCCCTCGCTTATGGACGTGCCTCACATCAGGATTCGTCTGCCATTCATCGGCAACTGAGTTGTTCGCTTCACTGACTATGACGGCTTACAATCAAGTCTTTAACCATAGTGTCGTCAACTGGTGAAATACTTTGCTCATAAATTGTGCTTCTTAATTGCTCATGTACTACATCGATCGATAGTTCACGAAGCAGCCACGGCGTTCCAAACCTGACGCTCACAGTCATCTTTTCAGTCTTTTAGTATGAACCTACCGTGAACGGCGTGTCGGTTTGAATGCAACGCGAGCATTTCTCTGAGTTTCCCAGCGCCAACATCATCTAACTGACTTAAACTCGAACAATAAAAAAACTATAGAGTTACTCCCATGGTCGAATAGCTTCGAACAACGCAAATAGCCTTGTTCAGGTTCGCAACGCCTTGTGGGTTTTTCAGGGGGAGCGCAGACAAGGTACAAAAAGTATCCGTGCAAGGGTTCATACAAGAGAAAACCCTATGAAACCATTTGTGAGAACATCGTTTCTACGTACCAGACCCTCGTGTTTTCCCTCCCCCGGATGACAACTTTGTGACACCGACGACCGAAAACCCATTTTATGACTGGGCTCGCCGGGCAGCCCAGTAAAAAGGCATAATCACGTTACCGTTTCTGATGAAACTGGTAAAAAACTGCGCTGTCAGACAGTATACACTGAAGCAATAACTCGGACCCCGCTTACTAGAACTGTTTTTCGTTAACTTCAGAATTCGAGTTACCGTGGTTTATCAAGCGCACAAAGGAATCAAGGAGAATTTCCTCTTTTGTAAACACACGGTCTCACTCCAGTATAGATGTGACTATAGTGAGGCCTGTTAATTACCCCCTTTCTGTTGGACAATCACACCCGAAGATTATTGGTCGTAAGTTATAGTTGGTTTGTAAATATTTGTAATAGTGTATAACTCTGGTGTTCTAGGTGGATTGGGTGTTTGAGATTTGCCATTATCTCGTCATTTCATCATTATGTTTTCTGTAATTAATTAGGCGCTTGACCTTGCTTTGCTTTTCTTGCAACATTGGTTCAACGAGAGGTTTGTAGTTATGTTTGTCGTCGATTTGTATTTGATCTTCTCTTATTTTGTCAGTTTTGTTCGTGTCTACTGTAGTGATTCCCTTGTCTGCTTGATATCGATGCCGCGCGCCAGTATTTTGCTGTAATTCTTTTTATGCTTGTCGGTCCCTGCGTGACAGGTTATGTTTTGGCTTTGTTATTTGTATCTCTGCCAGTTGTGATTTAGGGTGTGTTCCTTTCGGTGAATCCAAAAACGGATTTTAGATCTAAGAACGGATTTCGCGTTCCTTTCGGCAAATCCAAATCCGGATTTTTGATCTGGTGAATCCTTTTTGAAAAAGGATTCACTGGATTTGAAATCCGAAGAATCCAAATCCAGATTAGCGGATTAGTGATCTACGCTGTTCCATTCACAGTGGATCCGAAATTAGTCAGATGATCCAGCGGTATTTCCAGTTAAAGCATTCCCATAGAGGCCGTAGAGTTTCCTCGTTGCGGTCATTTGCCCCAAAACATCTGAAAACATTAGAAGATTGTTCCTGGTACATTAAAATATCCATATACTGACCATTTGTCTCTAAAGATTGCTTGAAATCAGAAATAAGTAAAAGTAACAAATGAACTGCTATCTAACTACAAACTCGCTTGTAGACGCGACAGGCATTCGATTGTGCTACATAAAAAAATCCGAGCTATGGAACTGGATCAAACTGGCCGACATTCTTTAGATAATTTTCAATTTTAATGGGCTTCTTTCTTTGTCTGTTTTATATGTTCCATCATCGCTATTCGAACTGCCGACCACTAAATTCTGCACGGTATAATCGCATATTTTGTCAAACAGTAGAAAACACGTCATTTTTTGAGAGGCTGTCGTGCATATTGCACGCGTTGGCGAAAGGTTACCAAGGTTACAAATCCAATTTCGGATTTCACGTTCCTTTCGACCGAGAAATCTGGCAAATCTAGGATCAAAAATCCGTTTTTGGATTCGCCGAAAGGAACACACCCTTAACCTCTCTCGTCCTTTTGTACTCGTCAAGGCGCCGAAATAAGAATTCTGAAGTGTCATATGAAGCTGAACTAAGCTGCCTTTCCAAATCCAAATCCAAGTCTAGCAAGGGAGGAGAAAAACTCTGCAATATTTGGTAGCCAACAAACCACTACTTTGGATCGAAACCTCGTCTCGGTGAAGTGAAGACATCGATTGATATCACAACTGGTCAGCGTTCTCTCTTTCTCGACTCGAGTGTACTTTTTTTTTTCAAATCGACTCGCATATTTTTTTCGACTCAAATTTCAAAATTTCGACTCGTGTTTTTTTTTTGTTCGTGAACATATATTTTGCAAATCTCGACTCATCTTTTTTATTGCATTCGATGTACTTTACAAGTTTCGACTTAAGTATTATGTTTTCAACAGTCATGTTTTTACTATCGGTATAACTTTGTCCGCAACGGAACGCCATAATTACCGACAAAGATCGAAAATTTTAACCGACTACCGACAAAGTGACTGAATTTTAAACGACAACCGACAAATGGACCCCCCATTCAGACCCTCGCAGATAAGGCGCGCGACGCTAGACGATGACGTAACCACACAAACAAAAACATAACCAAGAAGGACTTCCTTGTTTTCTTTCTTTCCTTTTTGTTTTTATACATACATTTTTTTTACCATAACAAGATGATTTCCAGGACACAGATGTTTTCTAGCTCACCCCGAATAAACATGTAAGTTGTCGGGAATTTTTCGTACGTTATCCAACAAACAGAAAAACTCTGGGAGGTTTTAACATGCCCAGTCATTCCCTGAAGAAAAGGGTAGTGTCATAGTCAACCTGAATAGCTCTGTCATATCATTCCTGATCATATCGATATTTGAAAACAGCTGACTTGTTTGTTCATTTTTAAAGGTATAAACTATATAGTGACATGGCGCAAGTATCACGCAACCCCCCTTTTCGCGCTCTGATATATAGCTAGTTGAAAGTTTAAGGTACTCAATAATATCGACATTTGAAAAATATTGAATTGAGCGTCTGTGTTTTCGAGACACCCAGGGGGTCTGAGTTTTTCGGGTCTGAGGCCTGTGTTTTCGAGGTCCGAGATTTTGTAACACCCCTTCCTTCACTTCTTGCAAGCCCATACAGAAATTGAATGATCAAAAATCCTTGACAGGAGGATAGTAAAAGTGTACCAGGCACACACATGAGGGCCAGTGCATGTGGGCTGCATTTATCGTGGGTCAGGCAGCCTAGGGTATACAGTCATGTGACAGTATCTGTATGGAACATGTACGGCTAGCGTGACCTCTTCCCAGAGGCGCAAAGTTAGGTTCCAATCACCCTCTACTCCTGCGCCTTGCATGTTACAAAGATGACTGGGGAAGAGTCAGCCCCCCGGCTAGAGTTCAACTTCATTGGGATTGGCCTTGTGCACCAATATGCCTTCATATTCACATCAAAATTAATTCATAATCTATTTAGATGATTCTTAAATCCTATTCCTTTATCATGCCAATGTAATTTGAGCTAGCACAGAAAATGCAGTATACATGCATTGAAAAGCTGCAGAGCCTAATAATTGTACACCCTAATTCTCTTTGGAGTAACTAATTTAGACAGGGTTTAGCACATACTATATTATTTTAAGTTTACCATTTTATTTCAATACAAATGCATGTGTATATTAAATGATGTAACAAAGTATACATCATGTAGTAGCTCAAAGCTCAGATTAATAATGTTTGGCCACACCCATTCAAGAAAACAGTCTATTTGGTAGGGATAAAAGTGGGCACATAATTGGTTTCAATAAAAACCCCTGCTAAAAATTAACAAAAAATTGTTGGAGTTTAAAGCTTTGTAACAGTAGGAGCAATCATTTTCCTGTGACTGTAGTAGCAGCAATTGGGATCAACATCAACATCAATAACTTCAGTTGATATGTTCTCTCTTACAAAACCACTTTTCAGTAACTCAGGGACTTGTGTTTCCTCGAACATCTTCTCAATGTCATTATATTTTGTCTTAAGCAACTCTCCCCAAGACGTCAGATTGCAGAAGGTCAGCACTCCTCCTGGTTTAAGGAGACGGTAGGCGTGGTCTTTGATAAACAAGAACTGATGAGTGTGCCATGTTTCCTCTGACAAAGGGTACGTGTCATACATGATGCCATCAAATGATTCATCATCAAGGGAGGGCACTACCTCCTCCCACAGCCCTATGAAAGATAAAAAAGTACATGAATATGTGTGTGAAAAAGCTTGCTAAAGAGTTTGCTACTTTTGCTGTGACTTAAATGATTTTAAGTCAGCAGTTTGTCAGACTATGAGTGGTCCTTTATTCTCTTTAGGGTCTAAGGGGGTACTCCTAGGAATTCTTGGTGTAAGTTTTTAGTACTGTAATTACCCAATAAACGACTTGCTACCATTCGCCCATTCCAGAAAAATTTTTAAAAACACTACTTTTTCACTGTGCTTGTTGACTTTAGGGTACCATTTTGGATTAACTTTCTCTCTTCCTCAGAATTTTTTAGCTTCCGAAACGCAATGGAACAAGACACCATGTTCTCTTCGGTTAGTGTTGTTCGTACATTGGAAAATTTCTAAACACGTGTGAGATTTACTTTTCTTGACTAATAATCTCATACATAATGTTTTTCTTGTATGCTAATTTCCGTCATTCACAAAATTCAAGCGTCATAATGATTGTTATCAACTCTATTGAGACACGCTTTTCCAGAAATGTCTTTGAACTCACTTCATAAACTCACAGCATGTGTCTCATCGGATCTAAACCCAACAGTACACTGCATGCTGCTTGTTTATTAAACATTACATAACAATCAATAGTTATTGATGATAAGGAATAAAATCTTGAGAGGTACATGCATGGTTAAGATATTCTGAACATCATTACATGACAATGATACTTGGCAAACAAAACCAACAAGAGCAGCTTTGCGCTTAACCCATTATATTGTTTACTTCAACAACTACTCCAGGCATAGCCTTCATCGCCTTTTATTTTTTGTCTCTTAATTTAGTTTTAATGGATTTTTACTTGTCCATTCAATCTGGTCCAGCACCATCAGCTGCACTTCGCATTTCTTTCCTTGCAATGTCACTCAGAATGGAATCCAATTCAGTGCAGTATATATACTACAGGTCAAAATTTTTTACCCTAGGTTGATTCTCAATTTCATGTCTCTCTCCTGGCCCTAGGGCTAGGAGACAATTGAGAATCAACCTAGGTTAAAAAAATTTAACCTGAATTCAATTTTGACCTTTAACATATATACAGGCATTGAAGTACTCCAGATCGCTGTGATCTTTCCAGACAAGGGGACATCCTACATGAACATGTAGGTTTGGTGAAAGCTGAGGAATATTTAAAGATTTTATCTGACGATTTCTTCCAGTTTTTGTTCTTTTTCAGTATTTTATCAATAAATTTAAAGAACTGCATACTATCATGACTGAATGACGTAATAAATAATACTGTACAGACAACATCCTGAACTTCATGACTTAAGTCTTTTCCAATATTAATCAATGGGAATCACTAAAAATCAATAAATTAGCCTGCAAAGCAAGTGTTTCCAATCGAGTTACTGCGCGAACATTAGAGCGGGAGCAAAAAAAAAAGGTGGAAGGGGGAGGGGAGAAGAGGAAACACTTGCCCGCAAACCCCACGATTCTGGAAAACGCCCCTTGATATTTCACGGTTCGGTTGATTTGTAAATTGACAGCTCGTCAAAATAGCGGCTCTAGCTAGTGTCGAGTACCGATGTTATGATTTACGTTGATGTTATCTCCAACAAACAGTCCATTTTTTTCAGTCAGATCTGTACGCCGTCATTCCAGAAACTCATAAGGGGTTGCAACCCGTTATGAATTTCTGGTCATTCCCAATAAATTGGCCTTCCCTACTATCCACTGCTCGATCTCCAATTATACTTTGAAGACTTTGATTTTATAAACCTTCACACAAACACGATTCAAATAAACATCAGTCCAAAGCATTTGTAATCTGCAACCACAAATCAGATGAAACCAGATCTGTGACGCACGTAAACAAAGCATACCTGGTTTGATTGATGTTTCGAGTGCTAAGTAATCAACACTACCATCACCGCGCCAATCAGAAGCTGCGTTCGTGGTCGAACGCAGTTTTTCAAAATCGCGGGGTTTGCGGGCAAGCGGTACCTTCATTCCCCTCCCCCGTCATTCCTTTTTTTTTTTTGCTCTCGTCCCAACTTTCTCGACGAACTCGCAAGGAAACGCTTGCTACGCTAACGCAGGCTATCAATAAATCAATCCTTATCAATTTATATCACAAACTGATATTAATCGAAGTCACAACTTTTTTCTTTATTGTTTTTTATTGATTGATATCGGAAATCGATATTCATTAAATTGATTAGCTATGCCTGGAATGCTGGGATCTTCCTTCCTCCACATTAACAACCCCATATACAGGTACCTTTCAGGAAAGCATGTGGGCATTCCTGAAAATACCTAGCTTTGGCAGCTTTTACCAGTATAATGTGAGAGTATAATGTCAAGTGTGTGAATAGGGACCACTATGGCATGCCTCTGAGAGGTATTGATGGACAATCTAACATTATAACATGCATAGAGCCACAGCAAAAATTCAACAAGTTGACGCAGTGAGGCTGACTTGGGTTGACACAAACAACAGAAAGGAAACTATTTTCAAACCCCTGGACTGCGACATCTTGCATGTAACACTGAAACCATGCAGATTCCCCTTTCTGAATTTAAAACACAAATTCCATTACTGTAAATCCTATATTAAGCCCCCTCCCTCTAATAAGCCCTCTAATAATAATAGACTGTATTAATCAATTATGACTGTTTAACTTTGAGTGGACTGTTCCAGGATAGTTTATTTTATACCAACTGGAAGTTCTGATTTGTTTTTAATCCTCGGCTGCATAACCTCCAACCTTTACCTACTTTGTATTCTAGGTCTTTATGGAGAACTGATACCATTGTCTTTTTAAATTAAATAACCCCCCCTCAAATAAGCCCCCCCCCCATTAGATGGGCTTGAAATAAATAAGCCCCCTGGGGGGCTTAATAGAGAATTTGTGGTAAATGACAGTCAACCGATGCACCTCCAGTAGTCAACTGATATTCCATCAACAATTGACACCCCTTTAAGCTTGTATTGTTCGAGTGCCGACTGATATACTGACTGGTGTATCAGCCAACATTTTTGTCGACATGTTGGTCGATACACCGGCCGACATATCGGATGAGTGTCGACCAACATATCTATCGACATGTCAACCGATATGGTGATCAATACTTGACTGACAAGTCGACCGATAGTGCCAACCAGTACTCAACCAAGGGGTGCACAAATTACGCAAGATTTGCTGTTTCAAGGTCAATTCACTTGTTGGAATTTTACCCTAAAAAGCCTTCAGTTAGTTGGAGGGGATGTAAACAAACCAACCATGCAAAATACCTTTAGAAGGTCTGAACAACTTCATACATGCCAAAAACCTTGCCAGAAAAGAAAACGTCAGCTACCTTCACTGTAGCTGGTTGAAATTGAATTAATAGGCTGTCCATCAAGAATATAGTCATAACCGTGATAAATTTGATTGATTGACTGATTGATTTTTGAGTGATTGGTTGATTGATTGACCTCACAACTGACCTTTCAGAGGTGTCACCTTCTGCTTGGCCGTTTCAGCAAATGCCTCCAGCCTTTTGAAGACTCCGTCATTGCATTCTACTATGACGTGTTCATCTACTGCAAAGGACTGAATTTTCGTCGCCGAAATAGCCAGTCCGAAGCCAAGCTCAAGGACTCGGCCACCTTTGGATGCTGCTATTGAAGCCAGTTTATGCATGTACGGTGTTTCCCAACGCTCCATAACCGGTTTACCCATGATAACTAAATGTTCGTCTGTTTCGTCGTACTTTGCACCAGCATCTTTCCACAATGGCTTGCAGTTTTCTCCGAGGCCAAAGATCTTGATTGCTGCCATATTGTCGGCGCCTACCGTCGCTTCAACCCGCGCAACAGTCTCGTTCCCAGGGTCCCTTCTGACCGCTGTGACTTAACTGTGACCACAGGTAACCCAGGCTCTGTGATAGTACCACAGTACGGTTCCAGTAAAATTACAGTGTTTGTATGGGGTAAAAATATCATCCTAAAATTTCTAGGAAATACTAAATAAAGATCAATAAAACTTACTCTGCAGTTAATTGTCGTTGTCCTTATTGCTCCAACGAAGTTTCGTAAAAATTTGCAGTAATTTGTTTAAATACACTCTATCTAACAAATTAAACATACTTTGTTCACAAGCAAGGAAGGGAAAAACGACAGGAGATTTCATGATGCGTTATTCTGAGCGATCGAAAAACAACTGGAAAAAGAAGGAAGTTTGGACAGACGGAAGTTGCCCTTTGGCCTGGTCACCAAGCCGGTGCGGTGATCTTCAAACACGTGAGACGTAACCTGTCACGGCAGCATTGCGCGTGACACTGCGTGACATGACAGAAACTTACGTTGCGGTGGCCTGGGACCGAGCGGTCCCGGATGACCACGCTAGTTGAACGTTTCGGAACGCTTTTCGCTGTGTTAGTTTTTAAGTTGAACATTCTACGGTTAAAAGGAATCAAGGAACGGATTAAGGACTAAGGTTTATGTCAATAACGGAACAAGGACACAGATGTAAGTTTCAGAATTACTGCTTTACCTTATTGTATTGTAATTTCGTATCGCCCCGAGCTCGCCTTTGTAATGCTAGTTTTCTGTTTCTTCCTTTAGTTTTCTTTACCGCATCGCATCGCGTCGCATCGCATCAGTTAAGCCTATATTGCACTATCACGTTCACATCGCATTATCGTATCACCGAATCAAGACATTGTTCACAAGGAATCGTTTGCAAGGAAAATCAATGGTAGCGATTGACAGCGTGTACATGAATTTCTGTGGATTAAACTAAAGTTGTGTTTACATTGTACGCCTCATCGATTTATAAGGTCCTGAGGCAGTTCTGCTGCCTCATTCGTAAAGAAAAATCTGTACATCGGCGTTCTGCGTGTTTCGAAGGAGTTATTTGCTTAATTTACGTTAACTTTGTTTGGATTTTACTGGATTTGTGAAAGAATTGCGGCGGGTTGATTCGCTTCACGTATGGCCGAAACTAGTTCCCAGGATCACACGGACGACTTCAATGTTCCAGGCATCCTTGAGGATTTCGAAGAAGAAAACACAGACAGAAAAATGGAAGAACCATTTCTGAGTCAATCTTCAAACACTGGCGAATTACCAGATTCTCTAGGCCCGCGGAGACGAAATTTGACAGAAAAGGGTCAAGAAGAAAAGCGCAACAGACTAAAACGGCAATACGCAAATGCTCTCCGATCTGTATCCAGAAAGAGAACTGAGATATCCCAGCTAATGGTTGATGTTAACAACTTGCACCTCGTAAAGGACGAAACAATGATCTTGAATGATCTTATCGAACAGTACAGGGAAGCCTTTTCAGCTTACTATGAAGAGTTAACCCAGGAAAAGGATAAAGACCATGAACATGCCCATTACAAGGATAAGGTCGAAGGTATGATGGCATATTTACACCCATTACACGCTTGGATATCACAGGCTGAGGCCCGCTTGATTGATCAGTTAGATGGAAGAAGTAGCAAAGGATCTGAACGATCGTCTAAGGCAAGTTCAAGGTTGTCTGCAAGAGACCGAGAGAGAGTCCGTCTAGCAGAGTTAAAGGCTGAAAGATTGATGCTTAAGCGGAAACAGGCTCTTCGTGCTGCGGGAGAAGAATTGGAACTTGAAATGGAAATAGCAAAGACCGAAGCAAGGGAGAAGACATTGAGTGAGATTGATAAGGAACACGAGGCTCCCCCACCTCCACTTGGCTCAAGTCCACCTTCAGTGGCTGCCTCCTTTACACCTATTGTGTTAAAGTCTGCAGCAAAATCGTCACCTGATAACGTTACTGTGAGTCGCAACCCGCTTGGCTCCTCTGCCACCAAAGAGATGACACCAGCTATAAATACGGAGGTTAGCAGCTCCCCCAAGAATCCCAAGGCCGCAGATTTCATCCCTGGCTTGTTTGCAGATGGAATTTCATCGACACCGTTGACTGGTAACGGTCTCCGGGAAACTTCTAAGGAAAGCAGTCATGGAGTCTCTGAAGCTCGATCACCTCAGTTAGCAGAACGTACCTTTCAGAATGTTATCGAGTTACAGCAGAAGCAAAATGAGACAATTATTGCAACACACCAACAGTTAACAGCTGCTATGACACTGCCTCAACCAACAATAACTAAGTTCACAGGTGACCCAATCGAGTACAAGACCTTTGTTATGGCCTTTGATACACGTATCTGCTCCAAAGCATCTACCGGTTCTGATCTCTTGTATTATCTAAATCAGCATCTTCAAGGTGAACCGGCAGACCTTATTCAAGGATGTCTACACATGGACCCTGAAGCAGGTTACACGGAAGCCAGACGACTGCTTCAGAAAGAATACGGTGACCCGTACAAGATTTCCACTGCTTACCTCAACAAAATCATCCACTGGGCTCCTGTTAGATATGATGACAACCAAGGCTTGAAGCGACTGTCAATATTCTTGACAAAGTGTAACATTGCTATGAAGAGTATTTCATACATGCGTGTGCTCGACCATGCACCAAACATGCAGTCGGTGGTCTCCAAGCTTCCGGCCAACTTGCAAGCTAAATGGAGAGATCAGGTGTTAAAGAAGAAGAGAAGGGAGGACGGTGTAACGTGTTTCGCAGACCTTGCCAAATTTGTGGAGTATGCGTCAGAGTCTGCCAATGACCCGGTGTTCGGCAAAGAGGCCCTTAACAAGAGTAAGGAAGATGTTAAACCCAAAGAAAAGGAACCACCCGGTAAAGGAAAAAGGCCACCAAGGAAACCGGGAATTCCATGGAGACCAAAGGAAAACAGTTTTGTGACGACACCACTTGGAGCCGTCGTGCCTCCGGCTGTATACGGGGCCGGGCCTCCAAGTAACTATGGTCGCCCCCCATGTCACCTTTGCAACCTTGCTCATGATTTGGATGACTGTGATTTATTCAACAAGAAGACGCCAGAACTTAAGAGAGCCTTCCTGAGAGAAAGGAACCTGTGTTTTGGATGTTACGGAACGAACCACATCTCAAGGAACTGCCCAAACAGACGGAAATGTAAATTCTGTGGACGACTGCATCCCTCAGCCCTTCACATTAGTGGATTCCAAATTCCACCAAGGGACAATAGTAAACAAGAGAATGACAAGGCAGTGGGCAATGCCTGTACCAACCTTCAATCTACCTCCTGTAGTACCGCTAGACCTGCAGAATCAGTTGTGCTTCATGCCATCCTACCAGTACGTGTAAAGAAGAAAGGCAGCGACGAGACCGTCACCACTTATGCCTTCTACGACAATGGCAGCAGTGGTTGCTTTCTGACTGAGAGTCTTAGAGAGAAGATGAGCGTTGATGGCAAAAAGACGCAGTTACAGCTGGGCACTATGCATGGCCAAAGCCTGATATCTACCACTGTTGTCTCTGACTTGTTGGTGATGGACATGGAAGGCAAGAATCCAGTTGAGTTACCGCAGTCCTACACGAGATTCGAGATACCAGTGACCGAACAGCAGATTCCTACCCCTGAAGGAGTCAAACGGTGGGAGCATCTTCGCAGTGTTGCTGAGAAGATACCAGAGTTTATACCGAACTTGGAGATTGGCCTATTAATCGGCAGTAATTGTCCTGCAGCTATAGAACCTCTAGAGGTTGTACCAAGTGATGTCAAGGGGCCATATGCAATGCGATTGCGCCATGTCTGGACTCTGTCTGGGCCTTTGTATGTGGAGAACGTTTCAAGTCCTGGCAATGTTACTTGTCACAGAATCACGGTACGGGAAGCGGAATCAGTCAAAGAGGTGATATCACCCCAAGCCATACAGCAAATGTTTGAACTAGATTTCAACGATCACAAGTCTAGCCCTGATGAATACGGCTACTCCCAAGAGGACAAGAAGTTCATCAGTAGGATAAGGGAAAACGTCCACCTTCGCGACGGCCATTATGTGATACCATTGCCATTCAGAGACCCTCAGGTGACAATGCCAAACAACCGAGTTCAAGCGCTGAAACGAGCAACTTGGCAGAGAAAGAAGATGTTACGTGACGAGAGCTATCGAGATGACTATGTCAACTTTGTGAATGAAATGATTGCAAAGGGTTATGCACGACGAGTGCCAGATGACCGTCTGGAAGCTGGCCCTGGCAAAGTATGGTACCTGCCACACCATGGTATCTACCACCCTAGGAAGCCCCAGAAAATACGTGTGGTCTTCGACTGTAGCGCTAGACACGGAAGCACTTCCTTGAACGACCAACTAATGTCAGGCCCTGACCTTACCAACTCACTGATTGGAGTTCTTACACGCTTTCGCCAAGAGCCCGTGGCATTCATGGCGGATATAGAGGCGATGTTTCACCAGGTTCAGGTGCCCGATGACCAGTGTGACTTCCTCAGGTTCCTCTGGTGGCCCGATGGCAATCTGGAGTTGCCCATCCAGGAATATCAAATGACGGTGCACCTCTTCGGAGCGGCTTCATCTCCAAGCTGTTGCAACTTTGCATTGAAGGAGACTGCTAAGGACATGGAACACCAAAGTGGTCCACTTGCAGCGGATACTATCCGCCGAAATTTCTATGTAGATGATTGCCTTCGTTCAGTTAAAGACGAGCAGACAGCCATTGAGCTTATCCAAGGTCTATGCCAAGCATGTGAGCATGGAGGCTTCAACTTAACAAAATTTACAAGCAATAGTCGTGCTGTTCTGGAATCCATCCCAACGGAGAAGCGTTCTAAGGAAGCTAGAGACCTTGATCTGGGTCACGACCGTCTACCTGTTGAACGCGCCCTTGGGGCTATGGTGCGTAGAATCTGACGTCTTCAAGTTCCGTATAGTTATTAATGATAAGCCGCCAACAAG